TGGGTGTGTTGTTTGGGAGTGAATAGACGAGTGGTTGGGTGTGTGGCTGGGTGAGTGGGTGGGTGGGTAGGTGAGTGGGTTAGAGATTGATTGGGTGAGTTAGTGGGTGGCTGAGTGGGTGGGTGGGTGAATGGGTTTAGAGATTGAGTGGGTGGTGGGTGGTTGGGTGAATGAGTGGGTGAGTGGGTTTGTGAATGGTTGAGGTGAGTGAGTGGGTGGGTCAGTGCGTGAGTGGGTGTGGGAGTGGGTGAGAGGTGGGTTGGTGAGTTGGTGAGAGGATTAGTGAATTGGTGGGTTCGAGATTGCGTGGCTGGGTGAGTGAGTCGGTTAGAGATTGAGTGGGTGGCAGGGTAAGTGGGTGGGTTGCTTAATGGGTGTGTGAGTGGGTGGATGAATAGGTGAGTGAATAGGTGCATAGTTTAGTGGGTGGGTGAATAAGTGAGTGGGTGGGTGAGTGGATTGTTGGGTGCATGTGTGGGTGGTTGAGTTTTTGGGTAGATGGGTGTGTGAATATGGGAGGTGAGTTCGTGTGTTAGTGGGTGGGTGAGTCGGAGAATGAGGCACCATGGTGTCGAGATGTTAACTACCTCGCCTAGTATACAGGAGGTTGTGGATTTTATCCCAGCCCTTCCGCTTGTATATTTGGAGTTTCTATGTTCTCCCCGTGGTCGCGTGGAATTTTCTCCAGGTTGTCCCTCCACATTTGAACATGCATTTATATAATTTGGTTGCAATAACTTTCTACGTGAAAAGCCACTTAATTGAACTGTCATTTGTGCTGAGGTGGCTTCCAACAAAGATATATAGCTCAGGGCCTTACCCAGTAAAATGAAAAACAATTAAATATTCGTTTATTGTGTGGATGAGTGGGTGCGTGCGTGAGTGGGTGGGTGCATGGGTGGATGAGTGAGTGGATGGGGTGTTGCGTCGTAGGTGAGTCGCTGAGTGAGTGAGTGGCTGGGTGCATGAGTGTGAATTAGAGATTGAGTGGGTGGCTTAGTGAGTGGGTCAGTGTATGAATGGCTCAGTAGTTGATTGAGTGAGTGGGTGAGTGTGTGGGTTAGTGGGTGGGAGAGTCAGACAGTGGGGCGCCACGGTGGCGAGATGTTAACTACCTCGCCTGGTATGCAGAAGGTTGTGGGTTTGATCCCGACCCTGACACCTGTATATTTCCCTCCACATTTAAAATCAACAAGCATTTATAGGATTTGGCTGCAATACATGTCATAAGCCACTTCGTTGACCTATAATTTTTAACCAGGTCATTTCTGAAAAGATGGGAGTGGGTGAGTGTGAGTGGCTCGGTGGTTGAGTTAGTGGGTGGTAGTGGGTGGTTGAGTTAGTGGGTGGTGGAATGTTTTGGTGGTTGAATTATTGGGTGGTTGAGTGATGGGTGGGTGGGTGAATAATTACGTGGTTAGTGGGTGAGTTGCTGAGGGAGTGGTTGGGCGAGTGGGTGGGTTAGAAATTGAGTGGGTGGCATGGTGATTGGATGTGTATGTGACTGGGTGAGTAGGTGAGTGGCTGGGTGAGTATGTGAGTGGATGGATGAGTGAGGGGGTGAGTGGGTTTGTGGATGAGTGAGTCTGTGGGTAGCAGGTTATGTGGGTAGTGGGTGGGTTATAAATTGAGTGAGTGGGTTAGTGACTGGGTGAGTTGTAGTTGAGAGAGTCAGTTTAAAAGTGAGTTGGTGGGTTAGAGATTGACTGGCTCGGTGAGTGAGTGCTGGGTGGGTTAGTGAGTTGTTGGGTGGGTGCGTGTTAGTGGGTGGATGATCGACTGGGTGGGTGGTTGAGTGAGTAGATAGGTGGGTGGGTTGCAGTGACGTGTGGTGAGGTCAATGGCTGGGGAGGCACTGGCTTGTGTCAGAGCCAGATTCACACACTGAGGGGGACGTGGCCTCACGGAGGGGGGCGTGTTAGACGCATCCCCCTCAGTGAGGCAAATGTGATGGCTACCTCCCCTGGTGCTTTTTCATTGCAGTTTCATGACGAGACCAGCGAGCCTAAATATCTTTATACACATACGTGAAATAAGTTACCTGGAGTATGGAAGGCGAGGACATGAAATGAAGGGGTCTACAAACATTACATTGGTGACATACTGTGATAGTAACAGGCACGCGCTTATTGCCCGCGCTCCATCCAGTTAATGAGGGGTTGCGCAATCAGGGGAGGCTGAGCTCGTCGCTGCCTCACCTCTCGTCTCTTGCTGTATTTGCAGCGGAGCTCCGCAAATTTGGCGATTTTGACTATAAAAATGATTGGAATCGTACAGAAATGACATTTATAACACAGATCAGTGGAAAAATCTTAATTTTTATTTTATTATTCTCTTTTTTTTACTTTTCATAACAACTATTGTCATTGGAGTATGACAGGTGAGGCTCTGCCTCCCCTGACCGCACGTCCCTGGTGGGTTGGTAGGTTGGTAGGTTGGTGAGGAAGTGAGAGAGTTAGTGGGTACGAGATTGAGTGGGTGGCTGGCTGAGTGGTTGAGAAGATGGGTGTGCGATTTCATGGGTGAGTGAGTCGGTGAGTGAGTGGGTGAGTGCTTCATTGGGTTCATGAGTGAGTGGATGGGTTATTGAGTGAGAGGGTGGGTATTTGAGTAAGTGGTGTGCGTGAATAGGTGAATGGGTGGGTGTTTGAGTGAGTGAGTGAGTCGGAGAATGGGGTGCCACGGTGGTGAGATGGTAACTTCCTCACCTAGTATACAGGAGGTTGTCGATTCGATCCCGACCCTGTCGCAAGTATATTTGATTGTGCTTGTTCTCCTCGTGGTCGTGTGGATTTTTGTTCCAGGTCAACGGAGTTTTCCCTCTGCATTGAGAATGAATTTGCATTCAGAGGATTTGGCTGCAATGCATGTGTATGTGATAAGCCACTTAGTTAACTTGTCATTTGTTACAAGGTCGCTTTTGAAAAAGATCTATATAGCCCTGTGGGCCTTACCTGGTAAAATAAAAACAGTTTAGTTTTTGTTTCGTGGGTGAGTGAGTGAATGGGTGGGTTGGTGGTTGGGTGATTGAATGGGGGTTGGGTGGGTGAGTTGGTGGGTGTTCGAGTCAGTGGCTGGGTCATTGTGTTAGTGGATGGGTATTTGAGTAAGTGGTGTGAGTCAGTAGGTGAATGGGTGGGTGTTTGGGTGAGTGGCTGGTATGTGGGTGAGTAAGTTAGTGTAGGAGGTTGAGTGGGGAAGTTAGTGTGCGAGTGGGTGGGTGAGTGAGTCAGAGAATGGGGCACCACGGTGGTGAGATGTTAACTACCTTGCCTAGTATACAGGAGGTCATGGAATTGATCCCGACCCTGCCGCCTGTATATTTCGAGTTTGCGTCTTCTCCCTGTGGTCACGTGGATTTTTCTCCGGGTCCTCGGGGTTTTACCTCTGCATTGAGAATAAACTTGCATTCAGAGGATTTGGCTGCAATAAATGTATATGTGATAAGCCACTTTGTTTACCTGTAATTTGTAACAAGGTCGCTTTTGAAAAAGATCTATATAGCTCTGTGGGCCTTAGCTGGTACAATGAGAAATAGTTCCGTTTTCGTTTATTGGGTGGGTGAGTGGTTGATGGGTGATTGATTGAGTGCGTGGGTGGTTGGGTGGGTGTGTGAGTGGGGGAGTTAATAGGTGAGTGGGTGGGTGAGTGGAGTCTAGAGTGAGTGGGTTAGTGAGTGAGTGGGTTGGTGGGTGGGTCGTTGAGTTAATGAGTGGGTGTGTAGGTGGGTGCACAGGTATGTTCTTGAGTGGCTGTGTGTGTGCATGAGCAAGTGATTTAGCGGTTGAGTGGGTGGCAGGGTGAGTGGATGAGTGAGTGTGTGGGTGGCTTTCGTAGTTTAGTGGGTGGGTGAGTCAGATAATGAGGCACCACAGTGACGAGATGCAAACCCCCTCGCGAAAGCCGACGTGTTAAACTGGTATATTGGAATTCAGAGGTTTGACCCCAACCCTGATGTCTGTATATTTGGAGTTTGCATCTTCTCTCGTGGTCACGTCGATTTTCCTCTGATTCCTTCGGGTTTGTTTAACACGTAGACTTTCGCGACCAATATCATCCATAATAGAGGTTTCTTTTTTGGGTTAGATCGCGTAAATATTTAAATGTGTCGTTTAAACCCACCACCACCCGACACAGCCAACTAGTAAGGGTTGTCAGAACATGCCAATTTGTAACTAGTACAGCACACGGTGTGTTGGAGAGTCAAGCCTCAACATTTACAATCTGAGTACGACGTTTCGCCAGTAATTACAACTAGCTTCATCAGGCGACAGCCAGATTTGTGGAGACATTCACCTGTTTCGTTCCTTATGTAGAGGCGTAGATGTGCTGCCTGTTTTTATCATTTGCCGCTTATCATTCGCCTGTTATCAAGTTAAAAGTAGAAATAGTTATTATTGTTGTAATCACGTTATAAGAAGAAATAATTGTTATTTCGTTAAAAGTAGAAATAATTATTGTTATCAAGTTCTAAGTGGAAATAATAATTACTGTTCTCATTCGCCTGTCGTTTCATTTGCCTGTTGTTATTTTTCGTCTATTGTTATCAAGTTATAAGTAGAAAGTTATTATTATTGTTATCATTCGCCTGGTGTTGGTAGTGCACGTCTCTAATCCAGCACTCTGGAAGGTAGCGAGGGTTGGTGAATCACCGCACAATGATGTTGGCAAATCACCTTCCCGTGGGCGTCGAGGTGCCATAACCTGACTCGCCAGAAGGCAGTAGAGCAAGTGGACTAATCGCCATTTTCACCTGTACAGGGATAGAGTGTTTCACCCTCGCACGCATGGGTTTTCTCCGGGTACTCCGGTTTCCCCCACTGGTATAAACACTCGTCATTAATTAGCGCATAATGCCTCCATAGAGGACCGCAGAGCTTGGACAATTGTTGGTACTGGCTCACCACGTGGCTTCCTTCCTGCACGGCTGTGGTTCCTCATACCTCTGAGTCGTTCTTGTGCGCGCTATAAAACTTTTAATTATTACTATTATTCGCCAGGCGGTGGTGTTGCAAGCCTGTAATCCAGCAGTGGAAGGCAGCAAGGGTGAGTGGATCACACAGTGAATGTTGTGAAACCCCCTTTCCGTGGGCATCGAGGTGCCTTCTCCTGGCTGGCTGGCCAGGAGAAGGCAGTACAGAAAGTGGGATAATCGCCATCTTTGCCTGCACGGTTTAAAGTGCTGCCCCTCGTATGCGTGGGTTTTCTCCAGGTGCTCCGGTTTCCCCCACTTGTGTAAGAACTCATCATTCATACGTCGAAAATGTAAAAAAACAATTCAGGACCCGACTGTGACTCAGTGTGGATTTCCTGGACTTAGTCTATTTTATTATTATAAAGAATTAAAGGGGCTGCTGTTTGATGACACGACTAGAGAGCTGGCTTGCACTGCAGGGAACTTAATAATCAACTTGGATTCTGCAACCCTCAATGGCCATTTTAAGTTAAATTTGTGCATGTAAGACTCGCACAAACAACCATACCCAGAAACCCATAGACTCCAACAGAGACCCATCCTACAGACACTCAGACTCACACAGCGACCCCATACTCACAGAGACCGATAGACATGCACAGAGACCCATAGCCTCACATAGAGATCCATACACTCAAGGCCCAAAAACTCACACAGAAATCCATAAATTCGCACAGAGGTCAATAGAATTTGAATTTGAATATTTATTTCTACTGGATGAATCTGATGAGCTATAACGATCTGTTTTCACAGACGTCCAATCGGGTGGGTCAGAAAATAACAACAAAAATACAATACAAAAACATCACAGGAAAGGTAAACAAATTGTTTCGAAATATACAAATTAAACTGAACTCTTTTTATCTTACCATAGACTCATGCAAACATGTTGGACTCGCACAGAGACCTTAACCACTAAACCTCTAACAATTAAAACCCTCTAAACCCCTAACTATCTAAACCCATAACCATCTAAACCGCTAACCCTCTCAACCCCTTTACTCTTACAACCCTAATCTTTAAACCCCTCGCCCTCTAAAAGCTTAACCTCTAAACCCCCAAAACCCTAACCATCTCAACCCCTAACCCTCTAAATTCCTATACCCCTAACCCTCAACCCCTTTACCCTTAAAGCCCTAACCCACCAAGACCCTCACTCTCTAAACCCCTTATTCTTTTAACCCTAATCGTCTAAGCCATTAATAACCAAACCCTCTAAACCCTCTGAATCCCTAACCCTCTATACCTTGAAACCCTAACCTTCTAAAACCCTAAATCCGTAACCTAATCCCAACACATTTAAACCCCAACCCTCTAAAGAACGAACCCTCTAGACGCATAACCCTTAAAACACTTATGCCCCTAAAATGCTAACCCTCTAAACACATAATCTACTAAACCCGTAACCCTCTAAACCCATAAAGGTTTTTTTTGTTCGATTATGTAAATATAAACGTGTCATTAAACCAACCACCACCCGAAACAGCCAATTAGTAAAATTTGTCACATCAACAAAAAGTTCCATTAAGTGTTGGAGACTAACGAAAAAAACACTTTATTACGGACAATATTAGTTGTGAAAGTCTAGGTGTTAAACCCTCAACTCTCAAACCACTAAAGCCCTAACACTGGAAATCCCTAACCCTTGAAACCCCGATACCTCTAAACACATACCCTTATAACCTCCTCAACTTCTAACCATCTAAACCATTCAACATCCAACAATTGAAACCCATAAACCTCTAAACACGTAACTCTCTAAACCCCTAACCCTCTAAAACCCATAAACCTCTAAACATGTAACTCTCTAAACCCTCTAAACTCAAAACGTTCTAAACTCTAACCCTCTAAACACCAAATCCTCTGAAGGACTTTCCCCTTAAGACCCCAACCGTCTAAACACCTCACCCTATAAAACGGCAACCCATAAACCCCCAACACTCTTAACTGCCTAAACCCTTAACCTTATAAACCCCAAACCGTCGAAACCCCTAAACCTGTAAAACCGTAACCCACTAAACCCCTCGCCTTATAAACCCCTAATCCCCTAAACATCAAAACCTCTAAACCCATAACCTTCTAAAACTCCTAACCTTGTAGACCAATACACCGAGCAATCAAAACCCATGAACCCTCTAAACACCCAACTCTCTAAACCCCAAACCCTCTAAACCCATAACCTTCTAAACTAAACCCCTTTACCCTTAAAACCCTATCTGTCTAAACTCACCCTTTTAAATCCTAACCCAAATACACCGAAATCCCTAACCCTCTAAACCCCTCAACCTCTAACACACTCAACCCCGAAACATCATAACCCTTGAAACACCCAAAACCTCTTTACCCCTAAGCCCATAACCTTATAAACTCCTAACCCTCTAAACCACTAACCCTTTAACAATCAAACCTCATAAATCCTCTAAACACCTAATTCTCTAAACCGAGAACCCTTTAAAACCCATGTCCTTCTAAACTGTAACCCTCTAAAACCCAACCCTCAAAACCCCTTTACCCTTAAAACCATAACGGTCTAAACCCATCACCCTCTAAAATCCTAACCCATAAACCCCCAAACCTCTAACCCACTGAACCCTTAACCTAAACCCTTACAGTGAGGGAAAAATATTTGATCCCCTGCTGATTTTTTGTAAGTTTGCCCACTGACAAAGAAATGATCAGTCTATAATTTTAATGGTAGGTTTATTTGAACAGTGAGAGACAGAATAACAACAACAAAATCCAGAAAAACGCATGTCAAAAATGTTATAAATTGATTTGCATTTAATGAGGGAAATAAGCATTTGACCCCCTCTCAATCAGAAAGATTTCTGGCTCCCAGGTGTCTTTTATACAGGTAACGAGCTGAGATTAGGAGCACACTCTTAAAGGGAGTGCTCCTAATCTCAGCTTGTTACCTGTATAAAAGACACCTGTTCACAGAAGCAATCAATCAGATGCCAAACTCTCCACCAAGGCCAAGATTAAAGAGCTCTCCAAGGATGTCAGGGACAAGATTGTAGATCTACACAAGGCTTGAATGGGCTACAAGACCATCGCCAAGCAGCTTGGCGATAAGGTGACAACAGTTTAATACGTAGGCTTTCGCGACCAATATTGCATCCAGCATCATCGGGCAGTGAACTATTTGTCTTTTGTCAACGTGACACTTTTTTACTGATTGGCCGTGTCGGGTGGTGGAGGGTTACGACACATTTATAAATAACGCGATCTAAACCCAAAAACGTTGATTATGAAGGTGACAACAGTTGGTGCGATTATTCGCAGATGGAAGAAACACAAAATAACTGTCAATCTCCCTCGGCCTGGGGCTCCATGCAAGATCTCACCTCGTGGAGTTGCAATGATCATGAGAACGGTGACGAATCAGCCCAGAACTACACAGGAGGATCTTGTCAATGATCTCAAGGCAGCTGGGACCATAGTCATCAAGAAAACAGTTGGTAACACACTACGCCGTGAAGGACTGAAATCCTGCAGCGCCCCGCAAGGTCCCCCTGCTCAAGAAAGCACATATACATGCCCGTCTGAAGTTTGCCAATGAACATCTGAATGATTCAGAGGACAACTGGGTGAAAGTGTTGTGGTCAGATGAGACCAAAATGGAGCTCTTTGGCATCAACTCAATTCATCGTGTTTGGAGGAGGAGGAATGCTGCCTATGACCCCAAGAACACCATCCCCACCGTCAAACATGGAGGTGGAAACATTATTCTTTGGGAGTGTTTTTCTGCTAAGGGGACAGGACAACTTCACCGCATCAAAGGGACGATGGACGGGGCCATGTACCATCAAATCTTGGGTGAGAACCTCCTTCCCTCAGCCAGGGCATTGAAAATGGGTCGTGGATGGGTATTCCAGCATGACAATGACCCAAAACACACGGCCAAGGCAACAAAGGAGTGGCTCAAGAAGGAGCACATTAAGGTCCTGGACTGGCCAAGCCAGTCTCCAGACCTTAATCCCATAGAAAATCTGTGGAGGGAGCTGAAGGTTGAGTTGCCAAACGTCAGCCTCGAAACCTTAATGACTTGGAGAATTTTTCGATTTAAAGCTTTCGTGACTGCAGGGATTTATCTTCTTGGTTCTTTCGGTAAAGTCACGTAGAAGGGAAGTAATAAAATAATAAAAATAAAATATAATAAAACAATTCTCACGACGTTTCGGCCACAACGCAAGCAGCCGTCCTCAGGTGAAAACCAGGTCTGTCGAGGCGACAGCGTCTGAATGAAACAGTACACGTGCTTGGAGCATATATATAAGCTGGGTTGGAAGGGGGGAAAAGAGCGCCTTGACAAAAGAATATGCATATCAAGAGGAATTTAGCATTTTTATGGGAAATGCAGGTATGTGATTAGTACTACATATGACCGTGCATTATGCAGGATTAGCAGCATCAAAGGGAAGGGATATGGGAAATGCAGGTATGTGATTAGTACTACTTATGCCCGTGCATTATGCAAGATTGGCAGCATCAAAGGGAGGGGATAGGGGTAGCATTAATAAAGGGAAGGAGTGTTAATAGTATGTAGCTGCAGTAACTAAAACCACCACGTAAACAACTAAAGTATAACTACATAGTATCATCAGTATACTAAATATACTCTACAATAAGCTGAGTTACTAACAGTAAGTAATACATTACAATTGTACGTCGTAAAAAAATATATAATATGATTCCATCTAAACTTTATTCTCTTACATCACACGAGTCTACACCGTACTATATACTGCCATAGACAAACCCAACATTAAATTACATACTGTATTGCTATAAACCACCCTATACCTTAGACATTGTAATATTACACTATGTATTATTCTACCCACCCTAATGTATATCACACTGCTGTATATTGCCTATACAATTACGATACTATATATTACTTTGTACATTGTATTAAGCATAAAAATGTTATACTATGTTATTATACACTGTACCATTGGCCGTCGTGTGAAAGATACTAAGAGGAAGCAACGAAATATGTCAATGGGTGAGTAGTGAGGGAAACTTGCAGCGGAGCAAAGAATCCATTCCCTGCGGAGAATACAATG